AAAAAAAAAGGCATCAATGATTAGGTATTATTGTCATGACAGGAGTACAGAATGAAAGCTTGCCCAGTGCAGTGGACTTGGGGGAGGGATTCCATAACAATCAAAGAGTTTTCTTTTGCTCATCAAGGAGAAAAGTTAATTGGGAGGAGGGAGTGGGCATGGAAAAAAGTGCAAAAGTGAATTACTGGATACCCTAAGTCTCTGTAAACTTTCATTAAAATTAGTTAAAAAAGAAACCAAAAAAACCCCCTCAAACAAACCAAACCCTTAAAGCCAAGAGAGCTTGATGGAGATATTTTGAAAGAACTTTAAATCACAAGAAAGTGCTTGGAAATAAGAGGAAATCATTTTAGTTACAAATGGGATTACAAACGAAGCACAACCTCTCCTCATTGATGTGTCCTTATTGTAGGTCACTCTGGTGGCACAGTCCACAGGGATGCTGGCAACCTGAAGGCTGTGTGTCCCTGGCACTTTGGATACACCGGCAGTTCCATAAGAGAAAGATGGGCAATTGACAGTCCCAGAAAACCTGCTGCAGGTTCAGCGAGGAGTGGATTCCAACTCAATGGCAAGGAATTTGAATGAAAAGTACCTGGATACATTCACTTTCAAAATGCAAACTGAATGAATCAACAACTGAGCCTTGAGTGTTATTTCTTTTTTTAAGTTATTACAATTGGGCCATATTCCACTGCAGGGAGGAAAAAACAGAGAAATACTAGAGAATGATTTAGAAATACACCTTACCTATCTGGTTTCTGCCTGAAGAATAAAATGCATTGACTATAGCTGCTCCGCTTATCCACCTATAGAAACAAAAACACATTGTAAATGACACTGCTTTATCTGTTCACATCCATTTATGATAATAAAAACATTATTACTATTGCTAGTTGACTCTTGTCTTTCTTTAAAATATGACAACAAATTAAATCAACCATAGGAAGCTCTTGCGGTATAGTCTGTAGAGAGCTGCTCTGCTGACCGAAGACCCTGCTTTGAGGATGGTGTGAATCTACAGTGGGAGGAAGACAGACAGTCTCTCCCTATGTGATTTACAGCCTCAGAGACCCAAAAGATGGTCAACAATGAGTTGCTTGCAACTCCACCAGAGAGAGAGAGAGAGAGGTGTGAGAATTTATATCCAGGCCTGCAATTTATTTCATTTGAGTGAATTTTTAAAAGGAATCACTGGCAACGCAAAAGCCTGTCATCCCTTAAGGTTAAGACTATATCAAGATGCATTCTTGATTTGCGGTAACAGCCTATAATTCAGGAGTAGCTGACAGAATATCGACATTAAAGCATACTGACATGAAAACTTCAGATTCAAGTGTATTTTCAAGTACATTTAAAATGCTTTCATTCACAGGTTATGAACAACTTTTTTGGGAAAAATTATTCCCGAGGTCTTTAGTCTATCTTGATGAAATCTGTCTCCAGTTATTGCATTTATAAACTTGCTTTATAAAAGGTAACAATTCAGCTAATTGAACAAAGGTATATTTTTCTGTAACAACTAGAAAATGAAGTTCTGATGGTTTTTAAGTAAATTGGTCTGTCTACCCACACAGGTGGGTAGACAAATTTGGGCTCTGGACAGAATCTGCTGTTTGCTTTAAAGAAAATGATAGAAATCCTGTAAGAAGCAGAACTGCCAGGTAGGTGTTTCCTGACTTTGCATGTAGTTGTGTCCAAAGCCCTATTGCTGGTGATTTGAAACCTTTAGTGGCTGAAAAGGAAGAAGATAGGCAGCCTTCTCCTGTGAAATTTACAGCCTTGGAAACTCACTAAGGGTCAATTATGAGTTGGTTCCAACTCTACAGAAATGAATTTTGAGCTTTTTTTTTTAAATTAAAAATAAAAAGGAAGAGATTTCTCTTGAGAAGCTGCTGGTAGACAGAACTAAACAGCTTTCAGGGGGGGATCTTTAACCATTGTGCCGCTAAGACTCTTTCTGTACAAAATCTAAGGATGTGAGGGGGGAAAAACACTTTCTAATTTCAGGAGACTTTAGTAGTTAGAAGAAAGGAGAACGTTCCATGAGTTAAACTTAAGGAGAAAAGACTGAGAGAAAAACCAAAGCCTCCAAACCAAGACTGTTTCTCTTGACTGATGATAATGGGCAGTGTTAGGATAAGACGTGCCAATATTCCCACACCTGTGTGCAAACCGTGAGGCAAGGGTTTCTGTTCAACAGAGGCACTATTTCCATCTTTGTAACTCTCAACTCATCGCTGCTGAGTTAGAATTTACAGCTGAATCTCCAGTGGGTTTTCATATGAGATGGGCTTGCCCATCTTTCTCCCTTTTAGCAACCGGCAGATGTGACTATTCAACAGAGTGAAAGCCGAATTGTTTCAAGATCTTGTCTGAGAAAGTCATCACCAGTAGCCTGTACAGAAGTGCCTTATTTGGCAAAGCACAGCACAGGTGAACTGAGCATGTAATTAACTCAAGAATTCCAGATACGATACCTTAAAAAAAAATATTGGAGGTTTGATTTCCCTGTTGACTCTCAGTTGACCATAGATAGCTGGGTCTATTTCTGGGTTCTCAATTCAGTTATTGGTCTATGTGCCTGTCATTGTACCAGGACCATGCTGTTTTTGAAACTACTGCAGAGTAGTAGGTGTTGAGACCAGGGAGTCCTAGGCCTCCAACCTTATTTTTGTTTCTCAGAAGTGTTTTGCTTATTTGGGATTCATGACTCTCCAAATAAATTTGATAATTTCCTTTTCAATCTCCTTTAAAAATGAATTTGGTGTCTTGATTGGGATTGCATTAAACATGTAGATTGCTTTTACTAGGATTGTCATTTTCACAATATTGAGTCTTCCTATCCATGAACAGGGTACATTTTTCCATTTTTTTAGCAAGGAAATCAAAGCTATCAAATGGGGAAATGATAACCTCTTCAATAAATGGTGCTGGCAAAACTGGACTTCCACCTTTAGAAAGCTGAAACAAGATCCACACCTCATACCATACAGAAAAATCAACTCAAGGTGGATCTGAGAACTAAAAGTAAAGCCCAAAACCATAAAACTGGGATCAGTTTATGTCCAACCATAAATGAACAGATTGAGAAATTCTGGCACATTCACACAATGGAATACTATGCAGCACTCAAGAGCAGTGAATTGTAAATTATTACCTAACTTGTGGGGGGAAGGTTATGCTGGGTAAACTGACTCAGTCCCACAAGGATAAATATTGTATAAAAACATTGTTGTAGGAAGAGCATAAAGATCCAAGAGGAGTGGGAGAGGATGGAAGCAGAGGGATGGGAATGTGCAGAGGGAGGCGGGCATTAATCATGGAGTTGTACAAATTGATGGGGGGGGGGAGTTGAGAGAAATGGAAAGAATATCTTCTCTAAAACAATGTATTCAAATTTTGTAAATAAACTAAAGTGAAAAAAAAATAATTGGAGGGTAACATACATTTCTGATAAATTTCAAATGACTACTGGGTTTTTTAAATTAAATTCTTTAATTTTAATTGTGATTTTAATGAAAATTTACAGAAAAGTTGGATTTTCGTTTGTTGCTACACATTTCCCCCTTCCCTCCAGTTTATTTATTTTTTAAAAAATATTCATTCTTTGTTGCACAATTATCTCTCTAACCCTACTACCTCCAATCCTCTTTGCAATGTACCTGTTTTTTTTTCTGGGCTGTTGTCCTATGTATAATGCCTAATCATATATTCCTTTTAAACAGTTCTTTCCTTCATCTGTTTCCAATGCTGTGTTCATTATTTATCCACTCTTTTCCTATTCTCCTTCCAACTCCCCGTGCCACTCCCACTTTATAATAGTGGTGCTCTACAGGATTTGTCCTTTTGTGACTGATATTTCACCCAGCATAATGCTCTCCAGGGTCACCCATGTTGTGTAATGCTTTACAAGTTCATTGTTTTTCAGTGCTGCATAGTATTTCACTGTATGAATATACCATAGTTTTTCTAGCCATTCGTTAGTTGAGGGGCACATGGATTGCTTCCATCTATTTGTTATTGTAAATAATGCAGTAATAAACATGGGTGTGCATACATCTGTTTGGATGGTGGTTCTGTTTTCTTTATAATGTATTCCCAGCTGTAGCATTGCTATGTCAAATGGTATTTCTATTTCCTACTTTTTGAGAAAGCACCAAACCACCTTCCACAGGGGTTGCACCATTTTACACTTCCACCAGCAGTGAATAAGGGTTCCAATCTCTCTACAACATTGCCAGCATTTGTTGTTTGCTGTTCTGTTGAACTTTACTATTGTTATTGGAGTGAGATGGTATCACATAGTTTTTATTTGCATATCTCTGTTAGCTAGGGATTTTGAACATTTTTCATGTGTTCGCCATCTGAATATCTTCTTTGATGAAGTGTCTTTTCATATCTTTTGCCTATTTTGCAATTGGGTTGTTTACGTTTTTCTTGTTGAGGTGCAAACATTGTTTTGGTTTTTTCTCCAATAACACGATGAAGATATTTAGATAAATGATGGGAGAATCTAACTCCCCCCCCCCTTTTTTTTTGTGCAGAAAACATTACTGTAAATTTTTCTTTAGGAAAGAAATAAGTTTAAAGATGATGAGGGAGGAATTACTGACCGGCAGACTCCTTTATGTACTTGGTTGTTTTTAAAGAAGAAAACATTTGTAAGCAAGATGATGTGATGAGGAAAGCAGCCCTCCCTAATCTTATCACTGCTGAGTCATCAATACACTATTTCTTGCAAGCTGATGATAACAAGTATATCATTTTATTTATTTTAATTAAACTCTACTAGCTTCCCACATGATTTGTGGTGATTCACAACAAAAATATGTTTGTAATTCCAAGGATGTTATAATCATTAAAACTGGAACATCAGAAACTGAAGCAACATATTTTATATGAAATATTTATAAAAAGGCAACAATTATGAGCAGGAAGAACACTATGTTAAGGATATTTTTATGTACATTTCCATGCTTACTGTGATTCAGGTTTAAGGTAAAATTCTAAGCGTTCCAGCAGAAGAGACAATGCAGAAAACATTTTCAATATTGCCACTAAATTGGGAATACTGTGCCTTGCACTATTTCCAAAATGAGTTTTCTGATGTCTTCTTGATATTTTGGTAACAAGTACTGTTGTTGTTAGATGTCATAGACTCAATCAAGTACAACTCGTAGCAACCCTGTGAACAGAAGATTTGAACTCTGTTTTATCCTGTGCCATCTTCACATTTCCTGACACTCAAGAGTCCAGTGCAGCAGTCATTCTGTTAGAACACCTGGTTGAGGGTCTTCCTCTTCTTCGCTGATCCTTCCCCCTTCCCAGCATCAAGTCCTTCTCCAAGGAATATCACCTTCTAGCAACATACCTAAAGTATGTGAGGCAAATCGTTACCATTTTTGCCTCCAAAGAGCACTCCGGCTGCACCTTCTCCAAGACATACATATCTGTTCATTCTCTTGGCTGTCCACAGTTGTTCAGTGCTCTTCTCCAACACCACAGCTTAAAGGCATCAATAATTCTTCTGTCATCTTTATTCACTGTCCAGCTCTAAGATGCATAGAAAGTAATTGGAAGGACTATGACCTGAATCAGATGCACCTTAGTCCTCAAACTGACATCATTACTCCTCAATAATTTGGAGAGGCCCCTAACTGCAGACTTTCGCAGTGCAACGCATCCCCTTATATCCTGAATGCTGGTATCAAAGGTATTAATTGTGGATCCAAGCAAGATGAAGCAATTGACAGTTTCAATTTCCTCTCCATCCATCATGACATTGCCTTTTGGTCCAGTGGTAAGA